CAGATGCAGCCATCCCACCATCTCTTCCTCGCCAGAAGATGATGAGTTTTGAGAAAGAGAATAGTTATTAGGCTTAGGAAATCTTTAATACAATGACTCAGGGCCTTGTGTAAATAGTTCATGTCTGAATAGTCTGCTTCACTCTTTGGGTAGTAAATATTTCTACTTTGTGGTCTTTTATGTCTACTATAGCATAAAATGAGGGAACACTGTTCTTCAAACTTATCCTATCTATCTACATACCATTTATATCCAAGGCAAGTATCATGTACAGTACATAATACATATTTTTTGTTTTGTTGACTTTTATTTTCATAAAACTGTAGTTTGGGGTTTTTTTGCTAGAAATTTAATAACGTCTTCCATTTATATATCATGCAGGAAATACTAAAAAATGAAAGATATAAAGAAGAAATGAAAATAAAAAGCAAAGATTTTTATGAAAAAGAAAGACTCCCTAGTAAAGAGACCAGTGAGGAACTCTTGGCTCCACCAGTTCAAACTCAAATTAAAGGGCATGCCTCTGCTCCATACTTCGGGAAGCAAGAACCTTCAGTGGCTCCCAGCAGCACTGGTAAAACCTTTCAGCCAGGAGCCTGGATGCCACATGATGGCAAGAGCCATGATCAGTGAATGCATATGGTAAAGCCATTTCATCTCTACAGACGTGACTGCTTTAACAAATAAAAGTGAAAAAAGTTAATTGCTTTGTACTTTCTGAATGTACAATAATAGTTCCCTATTCCTTTAAGAGTTCATTTTTAGTAGGTATAAGAAACATGAAATTATAAACATTCGAAGGCTAACTTTTTTTAAGACTTAAATTCTTCATTTGATTTGGTAATCATTCTGTTTATGAATTTGCTTATAATTTTTCTTTCCCTCCGTGGAATACTGCCTGGACAAGTGTCATGTACCTGTGAGTGCTCAACACACTTGAGGTCCTATGAGCGTTTAGGAGCCACCTGTAGACGTGTCCTGTTGGAAATAGTAGAGGTAAATATTGCACTCTCCCAAATGACAAACTATACCAGGGAGAAAAAGGAAGCATTGTTTTCTGGAAAGGTGCCCTGTGAGATTCCAAAGAACTAATCAAAAATGTGAACTTGGATAAAAGGTGAAGTCAAAGCAAATTTAGTTGATAAAAAACCTTAAAGATCTTGGTGAGAGGATGAGACAAAAGCTAGTTTATAATGGAACTGCGGTTGGTGTTTGAAGATTGGAATTAGGACTGCAGTAGCCAGTGCATCACAAGTCTGAAAGGACAGTAAGGAGAGAAATGGTACAGTAAATGAGTTCTATGAGACTGAAAATTACTTTGAAGAAAAGCAGAGATACAGCATAGAGCAGAACTCTCAGAAAGCAGAAAGTAATTCCAATGTCTTATACTTTGAAGAAAAGTAAAGATAATAATGAACACATTAAAACACTTATATGCAAAAATATTTATAAAAGGCCATACATTTTCTGGAGTACACAACTAAGTTTTTGTTGTTATTCTAATAGAGTTTTTCTCTTGGTGCTTGGGCATAGAATAGGTACACAGTATTTACTGAATGGATGACAAATTTTTGTGCTGTAAATAATACAGAGAAATCCTTGGTTGTTAATCATGAATTCCTAAAAACACATAGGTTAAATTTTTTACTTAACAGCAGCAAACTTTTAATTACCTGGGAAATATACTACAGGCAAAATACAACTACTTTAATAAAGCATTTGTACTTAAGTAATCAAATGACAGAATCACCATAACATAGTTATTGAGTGACAAAAAAGCCCCTAGGTGGTAATACCAGTGTTCTAGCAGTCCCATTAACAGCAGGTTAGACATTTTGTCTTGTTATATCATTACAAAATGATAGTGCATTTTACTGTAGAGGGAAAAAAGTTCTAGTCACTAGGTAATACAAAAGGACATACAATTTGTAGTATAATTGGATTGTGCATTGAGATTAAGATGTCCTCAAATCCTGGACTGCAGAGAAAGCTGTAAATATTCTAACACATTGGAGTATTTCTAGTGCTAAATTCCTTTTGGCTTATTAACTGTACTACATACATATATATATACACACATATATATGTGTCTTTTGTAAATGTTTGCCTATAGCCTGTTTATAAATATCTTAACATGGCAGAATTTATACTGATCTTGATTTTTATGGTTCTCACTTTAAAATACCTATTTTACATAAGCAGCAAAAGAAAATCATAGCCACAACCCAATTCTTGCAGGAAAACGCCTTATGTAACGTGGAGCCCAGTGGCAGAGCACGCGCTTCGCAGGCGATTTCAGGAGGAGCAGTGCCGCCTCTACAGTCCGTCCTCACCCCTTTCCTCCAGATGACCTGTAGGGTGACTGGCTGCACTGTTAGATGGTCTTAGAACAGTCTAATGTTCTACATAAAAACTGAAATGTAATCTTTGCCTAACTAAGATTCACTTTTCTTAACAGCTTTTTTAAATGCCTTGATTTTTAGGCCAGACACAAGCAAAGCAGAATGAAAATAGTAAATATTAGCATGTCTACTATATTTCATATCATAAATATTAGACATTTACAAGTTTTTTACTATGAAAATATCTGCCTTTATCTCAAGACTTCAAATCCATCCAAAAAAGTAAAAATATTTAACATAATTAAAAAATAGCATACATATCATAAGTGCTTTCTTAGGAGAGAAATTCTTCCTTTCTATGCCTCTGCTATACTTGCATACAGCATATTTTTGCTTTTTATAGTAAGGGGCTTAACATTATATAAACTGCTCACCTACAGAAAATGTTGGCTTTGGGTTTAATCATGTAATCTATCTAGCCAATCACCTATTAACAGATTTCTGGCTGCCATTTATTTTTTAATTGCCTTGAATGAGTACCATTATATTCTGGGTTTTTTGGGTTTTTGGGTTTTCTTTGTGCTGTCTCATAAACCACACTGTCAAAATGTATCTTGAATTTATTTGGATCAGGCTTTCTCAACTTTGGTTTGTTCTTTGAGGAAAAATGGAGCATCTATGATAGTCAAATTAAGTTAAAAGACTCCAAGAAATCATGCAGGAAAGAAACTTGTCCAAGTTTTATTTCCCAACTTTTTTATATTTGCCCATGAAATCCCTTTTATTGAGAAATGCCCAACATGTCCTTATTCCCGATACGAGGTAAATAAGCATGATCCTGTAACTAACCATATCCAAATACAAAAGCAAACATCCCTAAATAAGATCACATTTCCTCTTGGAATCAGGTCAGAGCTAAGTGCCCCTTGTCACTGCTTTTACTTCGTGTGTAATGAAGGAAGAAATGAGTAAAGCGGGGTGTTAACTGTTTATCTCAACTCTGGGTTTCCAGCTTCCTATGCTTATTTTGCTTGTTTACTGTAAGAACCAGAAGTTGAAAATGCTCTGGTGCAGTGGAACAGTGGTAGTATCATGCTAAACTGCGTCACGCACACACTGTGTCTCAAATTCTGACACACAACCCTTTGTTTTTGGTATAATCTTTTCCCCCCCGAAAACCAGACATAAAAAGGTAATTGACATGTTAATTAAATATGTAGCTGTCTTCTAAAATAAAATCTTCTGGGTAATAAAAAAAAAATTAACAAAAGTACTGTTTGTTATAGTGACAGAAGATGGATTTTTTCAAAGAATCACAAACCCTCTACAGTTTCTATTTTATACCACACCCTGTCGACACTCATGCAGACACCTGTTGTAAACTTGGTTGATCTTACATGTGTAAAAAGGGCTCTGTGGGCACTGTGATGTAATGTCACAAGTTAAACCGCCATTTGGGATGCCCATATCCAGTATCAGCGTGCCTGGTTGGAGTCCAGGCTACTTTACTTCGAATCTAGCTTCCTGTTAATGTGTACCTGAGAAGGCAGTAGATAATGGTTCAAGTACTTGAATCGTGGCCACCCACATGGGAGAACAGATTGGGTTCCAGGCTCCTTTCTCCCACCTGGCCAAGCCTGAGCCATCACTGGCACTTGGGGAATGAACCAACAGATAGATCTGTTTAAAAGACAACACAAATATTAGTGAAGGCTAAGAAATGGTAGCTGGGCAGGCATTGTGCAGCAGACGAAGCCACTGCTCAAGATGCCCATTTGCCACACTGCAGTGCAGTTCAAGTCCCAGACAATTCCAGTTCTTCTCCAGCTCCCAGCTAATGCGCCTGGGCAGCAGCAGATGACAGCTCAAACACTGGGAACATGGGAGACCCAGATGGAATTCCTAGCTCCTGGCATTAGCCTGGCCCAGCACTAGCTCTTACCTTTTGGGGAGTGAACCAATGGATGCAAGTTCTCTGCCTTTTAAATAAATAAACTTCAAAAAGAAAAAATAACATATATCAAACACAGAAAATTGACATGTTAAGACTTTAACAACCCCCCTCAAAAAAAAAAAAAACAAACGCTTTTAGTTAAATAAGTACACTTAAATTGTTATACCAGAACCAAAAAAAAACAAAAAAACTACTGTTTTGATAACTAAGCATTATACTGACTGTATCTTTTGCTTCGATTCTTTTACACTAAAATGTGACCAATGTGAACTGTTTGACCACAGAAACCCAAAACATGAGAGTACTTCAGACGTATCTTCACCACTGCTTTAAAATTTGGCTTTGCAGACTCGTGTAGGCCAGCAGTTCTATATAAGCAAATTTTAAGTTCAATCATATAGAAAGCATCTCCTACACCATCACCTGAATTAACAACTCGTAACTGTCCAGTGAATTATTTTAGTGCCTGGAGTCACAATGTGTTAATTACACCGGCACCCAGAAGGAACTGATAAACTAGCCTAATAGCATGAAATGTTCCAACTGGTCCATAAACATTCTCATGAGTTCTCAGCTTCTCAAATTTCAAAAACCAGTCTTTCACAAGGATGTTTAGGCATAACTGAAACATGTAAACCTTTGAAAAGTCTCTACTTGGCTTACCATATGTAATTGTCTTCCCCCCAATAAACCAAGAAGACCTCTTTATAAAAAAGAATCATATTTATTTCAATATCGAGTTCATTTTTAAATTAGAGACAGTGGACCACTTTTTGTAACTTAAATTCACTATCAGAAGTACAGGAAACATTAATAAGCTACTCCATACTGACAGTGAACAGTTACCAGACAAGACATTTATAAAAGCCATGTTTCACGGTAACGTCGATACCCTACTGAACTGAAAGATCCTTTAGCTCTGTACTTCTAGTTATATAGAGCACATTCTTATTTTGACAGTTTATCCCCTCCACAGCAATTACTATTGTACTCAACAAAATTTTTCCAAATTTCAAGCCTTTTTTGCCACTTAGGAAGTATGACTTAACTGTTAACTCTTTAAGAGTTTTCCAAAAGAAATACGAAATTTTAATTTTCATCTCAAACCTGTTTGATCAAAAGGTACAGTTTATCACTGTTACTTGAGTTAAAGAATTGAATAAAAGTAGGATCTATACAATCAGCCAAATATCTGATAAGACACTTCAACCATTTCACAGCTCTAGTTAGCACAAGCATACAAGGCTACTTCAAAAAGTTCATGAAAAAATTGGAATTAAAAGATAAGTTTATTTTTGGTGCAAAAATATTTTTAAATCCATGCATAGATTTTTCATTTTTCTGTGAACTTTCAAAAGACCCCTCATAAATGGTTTCAAGGTGCTATGGCGATTGCATTTTACTTTAAGCTTTAAATCATAGTGTTACTCAACAATTCATCTCTAAGAAAATGGCAGTGTTCATAAGTACAAAAATTGTTATATCTAGTGGGTGGTATTTTACAGTCAAGATACTGAGAATTCTTTATAAAATGCAGAATGTGTTAATTAACAGTTGTCTCAAAGGCTAAAATCAGAAAAATGCAGAAAATGAAATACTCTTTTGCTTTGAGAAAGCCAGAAATGACCCTACTCTAAGAAATAAGCAATAATGACAAAAGATATGATTAATTACTGTATCTCTTTTAAGCCAAAGCACATTTTTCAGCTCTGAAGACATTTTTTTCATTCTTAATAATGTTGGTCCAGAATAGGACCCCGTTATAAACTAGCACTTGAGGAGAGCTCGCAATTTAGTCATTTCTCTCCACAGGATGTTTTCATTTCGGTACCTAAGCCATAAAATGGCATAAGACTAGGTCAGTTACAAATTTGTGCTACAGGTTGAGTATCCCTTATTTGAAATGCTTGGGACCGTTAAGTGTTTAAGAATCTCCTGAATTTTGGAAATGTCTGCATATACGTAAGATATCTTGGATATAAGATCCAGGTCTAAACATGAAATTGATCATTACACACACACACTCTCTCCTCCTAGCCAGAAGGTCAATTTATACAGTATTTGTAGTGTGCCTGTGTTTTGGCTGTGACCCGTCACAGAAAGTCAGGTGTGGAATTTTCCACTTGCGGCATCATATCTGTGCTCACAAAATTTCATATTTTAGAGTTTCAGATTTGTAGATCAGAGATACTCCATTTGTATACAGATGCTAAGTTAAAGTAACTGTCAGTAGATACCAACAAACTTCTACACCCAAGTCTTAAAAGTTAATACAGTATTGAGGTCAGACATTATTCTGTATGTTCAGATTTGATTTATTAAATACTGTCAGATCCAATGACACCTCGGTGGTCCCGCCGAAGCTGCTTCATTTTCCAATGATTTCTCCTCTGGTTGCAGAACCTGTTGATACCTTCAGTCCTTTTTCAGCCGCTTAGCTTTTGCGATATTTTCTTGACGTTTTTGTTTCTTCTTTTGCTCCTTCTCCCTGGCTTCAATCATCTTGGCCAGCTTCCAGGAGAGGACCGCGCTTGCTAGGAACAGCGGGGTGAGGGCCAAGATAACTGTTGTAAGGAAGCCATACGGGTCCTTTGCAGCCCACTCTACAACATACTCAGCCCAGGCCTTTATGTCAAACATCTCGGCAGCAGTCAGGAAAACTGGTCAGGGGGGAAAACAACAACAGGGCAAAGACTATGTGGTTAATCAAATTTTAAAAAAGTTATACCAAACTGACAACCAGGTAACTCAATTTCATTATGATTCCTTAGTTCATTTTTAAAGTACTAAGTAGTACTATTTTAACCAGAACTAATAGCTCCAGGAAAATAATTCAACTAGACAACCAGATTAGGGACACTTAAAAGATACAAAGTTATGGAAGATAAAAAGTAAAAGCCACTTGGAGTCTGTCATACAGAGTATGCATTCTCACATGCTTCCTACAGACTTTTATAACTTCTTGAGTTTTACAAGCTCATTCCAGGAAACAACTGAATCCTGTTTGTCATTCATTAACATATCCTTAGTACTACTGAGTACTAATTAACAAAAGTACCAATCATCAATCGTGTGAAATGCTCTCACAGAAAAGCAGGCAATGGATAGCCATTTTCAGGAGTGGAAGAGAGGCTAAGAGAGCCACCATAACATCGACATTCATATACCAAAAGGCATAAGCAAAAAGTTATGTGCTATTTTATGCTATTTTATGCCCTTTGAGCTTTGAAGATCTCCATTGAAATAAACATAATTTAATCCACGAGAAGAGCAATGATGGCAGGTGCCCTGCATTTTGATCCCTTCTGAGTTGGTAAGGAAGATGGGTCCAGCAAGTGAGGCTGGTGTGGACTTGAGTTCCATTTCCCATTTTGCCCCAAAGGCTTTTCTACCTCCCACATTTGTGTCAACTCCTATTCAAGATGGAGAATTAGAGTAGCTGGGTAGGAAATGGGTGTACAGACAGCCACTTACGATTTCAGCTTGGATTACAAAAAATCATCATTTACCTTATGCTTGAATGGTGATCTCTTAACTTTGCCCAACGATCATCAGTGAGCCAGTTACAATTTCAGATGACCCTCGGTTTTTGGTTTTTGTCACCTCCTCTAGTTCTACTGTATGCTTGCTTCTGAGACGTGGGAAATCTATGCCGGTGATGAGCTGAAAACTGAGAAAAGAAAAAGCACTTAAGTTGCAACTTTCAGGCTACTTGCAATAAAGTGTTAAATGGAAACTGAATTCTATATATGCAACCTAAAACTGACAGGTAAAATTGCTTCTCAATTATAAGCATTTAATACCTTGCCTTTATTTGAGTTTACTACAACTGCCAATGTCCTCTAAGAAATTCCTATTACTGGAAATCAAGTATTTTAAGTTACTTATTTCAAGAATAAAATTATCGATGACGTTCAATGACAGTAAAAAAAAAAAAGTTGGTAGTGAGAAGTTACACGGTATTGTTCACTGGATTTGGGTACATCATTAGCAACTCAAGCACCTGGCACAAGCAAGGGTTATCTGGTGTACAATTCAGGTCCTTTATAGGAAGAGAAAGACCAAAGGGACTTAAAATCATCAGCAATCCCATCCCCTCAAGGCAACTGCCACTTTCATGTCTTTCCATGGTTTCTTCTAATTTTCAACGAAAATCGATTTTCAACCAGAGCACACCCAGGTGTCCTCCCACTTCATTAAATACCTTCGCCCAGACTTCCTACGCCACACGGTCGAACCAGGCTCTTCTGGGATGGATCTTTCTCCAGGCCGACGAGTTAACTACTTCAAGTTTCAGAGATAAGCAAAAGAACTCTGCAATAAAGAGGGGGGTGAAGCAGGAGTCAAGGACCCGTCTTAGGGCAGAAGTTTCAGCTGGGAACACAAGGAAACGAGTTACTGTCCAAAAGGCGCACACGCATCTCCCCTGTCTCCTCTGGGACCTGGGCGCCTGTCTCGTCTCCGTCCCCCGCAAACTGGTCGGCGGGGCTTCCTCTCGCCACCAGCCCTGCCAGGCACCCCACGAGGTAAGGGGGTGCGGGGCCCTGGGCCGCCGCCCGCACTCGCTCCTTTGTCCTTTCCTCCTTCCTTACCCCATCGGGGCCCAGGGCGCTCGGGGCCACGTTCACCGCTGCCCCCGGGCCTGCAAAACGCAGGCTTCCTCGACCCGCCGCGGCCCGGGCGGGGCGCGCACAGCCCCGCAAGCCCGGGGGCCCGCGGTCGACCCCGCCGCACCTTGCGACGCCAGCTCCGCTCCGCTCCGCTCCGCACGGCAGCGGCCGCCACCAGGCTCCACTCCCGCGCGCGCCGGGGGCCCGGACTCCCGCTCCCCGCGCGCCGCCCGGCCGGAAGCAGGAAGGCGGAAGCCGCGGCCCTCGCGTCCCGCCCACAGACGGGCCCCGCCGGGACCTGGGAGTGGGGAGGGCCGGCGGCCAGTTCCGGCTGCGCGGGGGCTCGCTGGGTCCCGGGACCTGGACTTCGAGGACGCGGAGGGGAGGGAGGGCCCGGCGGCGCCGAGATTTCCGGGGAGCGGCAGGTGAGGCCGCGCGGCGCGGGGACTCCCCGCGGGGACCGCAGCCCGACGCGCTGGCCGCCGGCCGGGCGCGAAGGGGTGTGCGACCAGGCGCTGTGCGGCCTCAGGCCTGCAGGAGCGGGTCCGAAACTATGGGGTCTTCCGCGAGGCCGGCCGGGGGAGCAGCACCCGCTGCTGCTGCAGCCGGAGAGCCGGAGGGTCCCGGGGGCGTGAGGTCTCCGGCCGCGGGAGGCCCAGACCCCAGACCCCGAGCGGCGGGGGGGAGGCAATGGTCCCCGGCCCTCACCAGCCGCCGGGTCCAGGCGATGGTGCCCTGACGGATGCTGGCGAGCTGGTGGAGAACCGGCCCGGACGATCGCGAAGTCCTCACGTAGAGCAGACAGACAAAGCAGCCGCGGAGCCGTGAGGGGTCTCCTGAACCTCGTCATGAAGGGGCGATGCAGCCATGCCGCGTGAGAACGGCGTTCTGTTGTTTGTTTGTTTTTAATTTAAGAACTTCACTCATTTCACAAAAGAATGATCGATACTTGTCCAAAGTAAACTTGATAAATAATTAAACTGCCAGGGCATAGAGTTCCCACAGAGGTACTTGTTCTTTCAATACACAAATACAGCGATGCAAAAGTCAACAAGCAGAAAGGGTGAGTTAATATTGTCTTCTGATCTTCAGGAACTGAAAGCTTAGCTCTGCTTTGGTTGGTGACCAGATTTTGCTGTTGCTTGCACGGAGCTGCTCTGTTTGATTACCTCTGGCAAATGTTGCAAGACCTCTTCGCTGTTGTGTGCCAAACAAAGCAGGTTTTTATTCTTGAAAGACCATAGCATGTTCTTTGAGGAGCAAGCTGTGACATGTATAACTAGTTTAGGTATAACAACAGTAACTATTATTTACCAGGGAACAGGCTTTTGGCAGATAATGTAACGATCTAAAATACTGTTCCTTGGGCATATGTTAATGTTTGCATGTTGTATTACCAGCAGTTGTCTTACTCATTCTTGTTTGAAAACCTGGATGATGGTTTCAAAGTCTGCCTGCCTAGACCTCGCCTGTACCTGTGGTAGCCAGAAAGAGCAGACTCAGTCGCAGGATTGTGTGCACTGAAAACTTTACTCGCTAGAATTATCTGGATTTTTTTTAAACACCCAAGCAGTGAATCAAAGAACGGCTTTGAATTTATTATTTTAACACCGTTTCTTCCAGAGGCCAGTTTGAATCCTGGGTAGACGGTTTTTCCAATCACTTCCTCCCAGGAATTGTTCTGGTACATCTCAGGTTAAAAGCATAGGAGTCCCAGGCAGGAAGAAAAGGCACACAAGTCGGAAACCTCTGTAGGCAGGTCTTGCCTGCAATCTAGCCCGTGTCTTCAACAATCGAATTTCACTGATCTAGCTTCTAGTTACGGAGCAGGCTACAAGCCCAGGAACGATTACCAAGGGTTACTTTCTGCAGTGAGTCTGAACTTGGGGGCTGAAGGTCACGGATCCTGTCTCACCACTAGCCTGAATTTGCTGATGCATCACTCGGAACCTGTTTCCTCTTCTGCACACTGGGTGATCTCTAGTGGCTTTTCAGCTTTTAAAAACCTACAAATTAAGGCCGGCGCCGCGGCTCACTAGGCTAATCCTCCACCTTGCGGCGCCGGCACACCGGGTTCTAGTCCCGGTCGGGGCGCCGGATTCTGTCCCGGTTGCTCCTCTTCCAGGCCAGCTCTCTGCTGTGGCCAGGGAGTGCAGTGGAGAATGGCCCAAGTCCTTGGGCCCTGCACCCGCATGGGAGACCAGGAGAAGTACCTGGCTCCTGCCATCAGATCAGCGCGGCGGCCATTGGAGGGTGAACCAACAGCAAAAGGAAGACCTTTCTCTCTCTCTCTCTCTAACTGTCCACTCTGCCTGTAATTAAAAAACAAACAAACAAACAAAAAAAAAACAACACACACCTACAAATTGAACAGACTCGGCTATTTTTTTGCCTTTTGCTTCATCAACAGCAGCATAGTAAGATATTTAGAAGAAACAGCATTGCCAGTTTTCTTTAGGTCTTCCTTGAACAGATCCTTAATCAGGTTTCTATTCTGTCTTAACTATCTTTCAGAATACCAATTTAGGGGCAAGTGTGAGGAGCAAGTGTTTGGCACAAGAGTTAAGCTGCACTTAAGACACCTGCATCCTGTATTGCAGTGCATGGGTTTCAGTCCCACCTCTACTTTGGAATTAGCTTCCTGCTAATGTGTATCCTGGGAGCCAGCAGGTGATAGCTGAAGTACTTGAGTCTCTACCACCCATGTAGGAGAAACATTAAATCCTGGTTCCTAGCTTCAGCCCTGCTCAGCCCTAGTTATTGTGGGCATTTTGTGAGTAAACCAACTTCAGGTATACTTATATGACTTTAAAGAATTAATTTTATTACTATTTCAAAGAGGATAGTCAAGAATTTTTTAAATGTTCATTTATTTGAGAGACAGAGCTCCCATCCAGTGGTTCACTCCCTAGATGCCCACAATAGTGGGGACGGTAGTACAAAGCCAGGAGCCTGGGCCACAGTCCAAGTCTCCCATATGGTTAGCAGGAACCCACTTACTTGAACCACCACCACTGCCTCCCAGGGACTACATTAACAGGAAGCTGGAATCAGGACCCAGCGATGAGTGTGGAACTCAGGCACGCCAGCATAGGATACAAACATGTTCACTATCCACCCGCATTTTTTTAAAGCTACTTAATGAGTCTTTACTGTGTGCCAGGTACTGAGCGTCATGCTAAAATCCTGAGACCAAAGCCACAGAGCAGGAACTAGAGACCTAAAAAGTTAGACTATTCCAAACACATACAGACAAAATCCTTCCTCTTCTTTAATGTTCACATACTTGGTCAAAAATGCTAATTTTGTAAAATGAAAGTATGTTTTTTGACTGTATAATGGTTATGCAATAATAACAACTAAAATCCCTCCATGCTTCCAAACTGCCTGTTGCCCAGGTGGTGGCAGCATGTCTCAAAGAGCCAGTGCTGGGGAGGTTTTTTGCAACCTCGCCAGTTGAAGGCTACTTCATCCAGCACATGTGACCTGTCAACCTCTGACTTCCTTGTTTTGCCTTTCTCTGCTAGTAGGCCAGTCCCTCAGTGGGTCATTCCCGTTCACCTCCCCTCTGAATCAGTCGTAACTCTGCCCATTTCCTTTCAACCTGCTGTACTTGCAGAGTATCACCAAATTAGTTTCTGGAAAACTCATGCAGGCCTGTCCAGCTAGACAAAAGAATGTTTTTCAATTACTGTTATTTATTTTTAACCATTACTAAGTGTTATTTGGCATACACACTTCCAAAATTAAATATGATCTAATGCTATCAGGAAATACTTGTTCAAACTAGAAGGCATGCGTCTTCCACTTATGGCCAGTTAAGGAGATAATGAAAAGTTTCTGAAAGAGAGAATGTCTTCAAAACAAGAACCGGGAGATTGGAGGTCAGGGCTTCTGGGCGGCCACCTTCCCCCGCTTCAGGTTCTCAGATGTGACCTCCCTCCCTCCCCTTAGGCTGTGCGCTGCCCCTGGCTCCAAGATTGTTGCTGGACTGGTGCGAAGGCCAGGGCGGTCCTGGGGGCGTAGCCAACACCCCTCTCAGCCCTGGTACCTGTAGGCTGATACCCGAATAGGTAGCGAAATGGTCCTGCTTTCGGTGCCCGCCAGAGTCACTGTGAACTTGTCAGGAATCGAAGGACCTTTTACTTCCTTACATCAAAGAAAATGCTAACGAGTATTGGCAGACTTGCTAGGAAGAGGAGGAGTGCCAGCAGGAAGTCAGTCTTTTGAGGACCCAGGCTGAAGAGGACGCCCACCTGGAGGCAGCTGGGAACGGGGTGAATGGCATCCAGGCTGTGCCGTGCCGGAGACAGCTCTGCACGGGAAGAACACGCGTGCAAACAGCCGCAGGGCCGCACGTGGAGGGCTGCGTTCACAGCTGCGCACGGGAGTAGGGTTTTCGGCAGATACGGTTCCAGGGCTCAGGAAGTAGGGGAGGCTGGGTGACGGGGTCTGTGTGTTCTTCAGGGAGTATGGAGCCACAGAAACGGTTATTTGATATCAGAATATCAGAGGGTGATATTCTGGAGTTAATGGTCACCTTGATACCAAGATTGGACCAAAGCAGAGAGAGTTACCGAAAGACTGCAGACAGCATTGTTTCTTTTTGTTTTTTAAATGTTTATTTATTTTTTTTATTTGAAAGGCAGAGTTAGAGAGAGGCAGAAAGAGAAAGAGAAAGATCTTCCATCTGCTGGTTAACTCCCCAAATGGGCGCTATGGCCGGAACTGGGCCAATCCAAAGCCAGGAACCAGGAGCCAGGAGCTTCTTCCAGGTGTCCCATGTGGGTGCAGGGGCCCAAGGACTTGGGCCATCTTCCAGTGCTCTCCCAGGCCATAGCAGAGAGCTGGATTGGAAGTGGAGCAGCTGGGACCTAAACCGGCACCCATATGGGATGGCAGCACTGCAAGCAGTGGCTTTACCTCCTATGCCACAGCACCAGCCCCAAAATCTTATTTCTGACAAGCTCCTCTGGAGGCCAGTGCTGCCAAGGAAGCCAACGTGCACGTGTGGTGGTGAGGCCTGGCAGCCCTAGACTCACAGATGACCAGCAGGCCTACTGCAGCCTCAGCACATCCCTTGGCAAATCACACCTACCCGTGTCCACCCAGGTGAGATTTCCAAAGAAAGATCCAGCTGTCTCTCGGAGTTCACCTTTTAGTGTCGAGTTGTATTCTAATGGTGAAAAGTTAACTTATGTGTGTGTACATTGTATGCAAGTGTATATATGTGTAAGCTCAAATTGCACAGGCACATGAGTGAAAACAACTGTTCAGTGAGAATGAAACTTATCTAAAGGTGCTTTATATGCAGAAAGTGAAACGAAATTCTAACCCTTATTGAGGGCAAAGTATAGTTGATGGAAGAAATTGCTAAAAATACAGGTTACATATGTTATCAAGTATATATGAAGGGGCTGGCACTGTGGCGTAGTGGATAAAGCTGCCACCTGCAGTGCTGTCATCCCATATGGGTGTTGGTTCCAGTCCCGGCTGCTCCACTTCCAATCCAACTCTCTGCTGTGGCCTGGAAAGCAGTGGAGGATGGCCCAAGTCCTTGGGCCCCTGCACCCAAGTGGAGGACCTGGAAGAAGCTCCTGGCTCCTGCCTTTGGATCAGCACAGCCCTGGCTGTTGCAGCCATCTGAGGAGTGAACCAGCAGATGGAAGACCCCTCCCCACCCCTGCCTCTCTGTAACTCTGCTTTTCAAATAAAGTAAATAAATCTTTTTTTTAAAGTATATATGAAAATAGCTAGTTTTGAGAAAATTTCAGAAGCCTTGTTTTAAAAGCTGTAACTTTTTCAAACATTCCTGATAATAATTCACTCCCTCTGTTTAATTTGAATTAGAAGATTCCATCAGCTGTGCTGCAGATTTGCCTCTCTATATACAAAAAACCAAAAGAATGTTTTTGCTCCAAAAGGTAACACAATTAGGTAAGGAAATTTATCTGAGTGTTGATCAATTAAGTTCCTTAATCTATTACTTTAAGAAAAAAATTGCAGACCATCTTTGCACCCAGAGCAAGCAGTTGCATTATCAATGAAAAAGGTGCACTTTAAATTGTAGCTAAAATAGGGATGTGGTTCTTTTTTGTTATTCGTGTATTTGAAAGGCAGAGATACAGCGAGAGAAGGCGCAAGAGAGAGATCGATCTTCCATCCGCTGGCTAACTCCTCAAATGGCTGCAGTGGCTGGAGCTGGAGCTGAGCCAGGCCAAAGCCAGGGAACCAGGAGCTTCTTCCAGGTCTCCCACATGGGTGCAGGGGCCCAAGCACTTGGCCCATCCTCCACTGCCCTCCCAGGCACATCAACAGGGAACTGCATCAGAAGTGGAGCAGCCAGGACTCTAACTGCCGCCCTTATGAGATACCAGCACTGCAGGTGGAGCTTTATCCTTCTACACCACAGTGCCGGCCCCAGCAATGTGGTTCTTAATGTTTAACCAAAAGGTCCTAAACCTGCAGATTGTTGTTATTACAGATTTTATAGTTGCCTCTTTATTTAGCATAAAAAGGGTTTACTGAAATCCATCCATAAGATTAAAAAGAGCTGTGATATATAATATTTTCCTTGAAATGGATCTGAGAAGTACAAATTTTTTTTTTTTTTTTTTTTTGGACAGGCAGAGTGGACAGTGAGAGAGAGAGACAGAGAGAGAAAGGTCTTCCTTTTGCCGTTGGATCACCCTCCAATGGCCGCCGCTGCAGCCGGCGCACCGCGCTGATCCGATGGCAGGAGCCAGGAGCCAGGTGCTTTTTTTCCTGGTCTCCCATGGGGTGCAGGGCCCAAGCACCTGGGCCATCCTCCACTGCACTCCCTGGCCATAGCAGAGAGCTGGCCTGGAAGAGGGGCAACAGGGACAGAATCCGGCGCCCCAACCGGGACTAGAACCCGGTGTGCCGGCGCCGCAAGGTGGAGGATTAGCCTATTGAGCCACGGCGCCGGCTGAGAAGTACAAATTTTATAACAGAATTATTTATCCTGGTTAGATTCTAATAGGATGTCGTGTCAGTTTCATGTCATGATAAATAAAAGATTTTCTTCAAAAAAAAAAAAAAGACTGTGTAGGGAGCAGTGCAAGGTTATATAATTCAAAAGAGATGCATCTAAGTATATAGCCTAATAACTTGTTAGGTCTTCTTTAACGAAAAATTGCTTGGAACATTCTTTTCATGTCTTTGCACGAGGGTGGGATGGTGTGATGGCTGCCAGAAAGCTTCAGATCAAGTGCTACCTTCTCCGTGACTATTACTTTTATTTTTTTTTCAAAGTTCTTACTTCAATCTAGGTTCTCTCTTCTTTGCTGGTTTATTGTCTATTTGTTCCACTAAAACTATATGAGATTAGTTTCCTCAATACCTAGAACATTATTTTAAATAATTGATTTCAAAGTATAGCATTATTCCTTAAAAATTAAATTGTTATTGTTAAATGAACCATGGAATCATTTAAATGCTGGTGTTATGGTTCAGATAATAACCATAAGCATCTTTTAGTGTTTCCCAAAGGCCAATGTGTTGGGAGCTTGATCCCCAAGTTCTTATGTGAATGGTTAATGGCGGACTTGATCCAATTATGGTCACTGGGGGTGAGCCCTCAGAAGTTAGTTCTCAAGAGGGGGAACATTTGTGTGAAGCATTCTCGCTCTGTTTCCGGCTCTCCGTGTGATTTTTTCTTTTGCCACTCTCCAGCCTCACTAGATGCCTAAACCAGAGGAGCCACTGATGATCTTGGCCTCTGAATCTCCAAAAACTGTAAGCCAAATAAGTTTCCTTCCTAATAGCTCCTCTCAAGTATTTTAGTTCTAGTGACAAAAAGCTAATACACCTGGGTATCTGGAAGCTTAGAATACCAAACTGTGGAAGTAGGTCTAAAGTGATAAGAGATGTCTCAGTAAGACACAGTCTAAGGATTAATACATAGGACATTTGGGGGGAGGATAAAACAGTTGTGGTTATCTTGTTAATGAGAAAAGACTAGTTACTTAATGATTTCTAAGTATGTAAAAGGATCTCCAGGAAAGTAGTGATTCATCATCTCTGTTGATAAGATAAAAGGAATTAGTCCTAGACCGAAGGTGCTAAGATATAAGATAAAACAAGCTAACCAAAGATCCCAAGAGAGATCTTTGAAAATGGGATAAGAGTGTTTATGCAGACTAGATGGCCTCTTAGGTAATCTCCAAACGTGTGATTCCCAGTGCAGATTACGAGAGAACTACTCAGAGAGCAGGTGCTTCTCCTGATAGTTCCTTGCTGTCCTTGTCCGTGTCCATGCCTTTTAGAACCAACTCGGTGTCTTTTGAGCACAATCAGTCCAGGCGATTACGTGCTGTTTTGGGTGGCTTATAGGGTTTTGTTCATATAATGCTGAAAATCAGGTACCTACCTTTTAAAAAAAGTATTTATTTATTTGAAAGGCAGAATGACAGAGGGAAAGACAGAGAGATTTTACCAGCTGCTGGTTCATTCCCCAAATGGTAACAACGACTGAGGCTTGGCCAGGCTGAAGCCAGGAAGTAGGAACTGCATCTGGGTAGCAGGAACTCAACTACTTGGCAGTCATTTGCTGCCTCTCAGGCATATTAGCTGAAAGCTGGGTCAGAAGTGGAGGTGAGACTCGATTCTGGGCACTCCAGTGTGGGATGTAGGCATCCCAGTGGCAGCTTAACCTACGGCACCACAATGCCTGTCTGTGGGGAGCAACTGGGAGCAACTCGGACTAGATTAAGTTACTGGAATTAAGACTTATTCTATGCATCTGCTCTCCCACAATATGGCGCTGAGAAGGGAGTAACAGCTTCTACACAGCTGCCTCCAGTTCAACCAATAAACTGTAGGACCTGCTCCTGATTGGAGGAGAGCAGCGTACTCGGCGTGTGGGTAGCAGAGTTGGGATTGGTGGAAGAGGACTATAAAGGAGGAGAGAGACAACATGCACCAGGAACACCTGAGGAACACCTGTGCAGCCCCCGAGAGAGCCGGCCGGTGGTGTGCCGCTCCCCCGCGGAAGTGGGGAATGTGGCAGGGGGAACCGCCCTTCCACGGAGGTGGAAGGGACAGTAGCCAACCCGGGAAGAACCAGCAGCAAACCCGGGGAGGGCCGAGAAGACGAAAGAACAGCGCAGGGTCCTGTGCCGTTCCTCCACGAAGAGGGGGAGCGACACCTGTCCTATTCCTGCATTTTTAAAGCTGTGAAACAATTTACATTGATTCTGCTTCATCTCTAGAATGCCCTATACAAGCACACGCAGCGGCTAGTTCCATGTAGTTGGAAGGTACCCTTGTGGAGGAGTAACAAGTCCAGTAAAGCCTTCTGAAGCTCTGTGCACAGTCAGGTGTGAGAGGCAGACTTCTTGCTGAACATAGATTCTCAAATGCTAGGCCTGTCCCAAATGACGTTGTGTTAGCTGTGTGAAGTCACCTTTTATTTCTGTGCTGGGTTCTCCTGGCCATCAAGTAAGAGTGGCTGTCCCACTGGGAAAACTAACTCTTGTACGACGTAGCCTTGAGTGTCAAAACTCTGTATTGCAAAAGCAAGCCTTAGAATCATCACCTTCACCAAGCTTTTTAATTTGAGCCTTCTGCCTTCTCCCAAGCAAGCTGCTTGAAGTGATTTTTTTAAAGTTTTGAACTGCATTTGCTGTGTATGGTATTGTCAGGGGCATTACCCTCTGTTCAATATAGTGCACTTTAGATAAGAACCCGTGTAAGATATTTTAGAGCCAGCGCCTCGGCTCAATAGGCTAATCCTCCGCCTGCGGCGCTGGTACACTGGGTTCTAGTCCCGGTCGGGGCTCCGGATTCTGTCCCGGTTGCCCCTCTTCCAGTCCAGCTCTCTGCTGTGGCCCAGGAGTGCAGTGGAGGATGGCCCAAGTACTTGGGCCCTGCACCCCATGGGAGACCAGGAGAAGCGCCTGGCTCCTGGCTACGGATCACCCCATTGAGGGGTGAACCAATGGAAAAGGAAGACCTTTCTCTCTGTCTCTCTCGCTCACTGTCTAACTCTGCCTGTCAAAAAAAAATAATAATAATTTTAAAAAGATATTTTAGAATGTGGTTCTGGCCGGCGCTGCGGCTCACTAGGCTAATCCTCCGCCTGCGGCGCCGGCACACCGGGTTCTAGTCCCGGTTGGGGCGCCGGATTCTGTCCCGGTTGCCCCTCTTCCAGGCCAGCCCTCTGCTGTGGCCAGGGAGTGCAGTGGAGGATGGCCCAGGTGCTTGGGCCCTGCACCCCATGGGAGACCAGGAAAAGCACCTGGCTCCTGGCTCCTGCCATCGGATCAGCGCGGTGCGCCGGCCGCAGCGTGCCGGCGGCGGCGGCCATTGGAGGGTGAACCAACGGCAAAAGGAAGACCTTTCTCTCTGTCTCTCTCTCTCACTGTCCACTCTGCCTGTCAAAAAAAAAAAAAAGTGGTTCTAAGAAAAGTTTTGGGAGCCACTTTTTGATAGTGAGAGTTTAGATTCTCTCATTTGACTGTCAGGAAGCTAAAGAGCCAAATTGGAAGTTCCTGTTTACCATCCATCTTAACCTGCATACTTGCATTCTTGCATTTCTTTTTCAATTGTTTTGCCTAGGTGCAGGTGCTGTGGCATAGTAGGCTAAGCCTTGGCCTGCAGTGCCAGCATCCCATATAGGCACTGGTTTGTTATCCCGGCTGCTCCTCTTGGAAGATGGCCCAAGTGCTTGGGCCCTTGTACCCACATGGGAGACCCAGAAGAAGTTCCTGGCTCCTGGCTTTGGATCAGCCCAACACTGGCCATTGTAGCCATTTGGGGAGTGAACCAGTAGATGAGATGTTTCTGTCTGTCCCTCTCTCTGTAACTCTGCCTCTCAAGTGAATAAATAAAAATTTTTTTAAAAAAATTGTTTTTCCTAAAACACATACCCTGTATCATTAGTGTATGTGTTTGTGCAGTGACGTACCTTAAGTCCTTTGTGAAATAAGGTGGGTATAGGTTGCCTACAGGTAGAATGAGACTCTGACCCCTGATTTGTAACAAGTACTTACTGGCTAGGGAAGTTTGTCCAGTGATCCCAGGTGTTAGGTTTGTTTGAAAATCAATGTTATAATCACTCAGAACCTTTAGTTCTCATTCAGAACTATGGAACATAGAAAGTTGGAATTTTATCCAACTAAAAGCTAATCTTGCCGTGGCTCGAAAGGCTAATCCTCTGCCTGCAGCGCTGGCACACTGGGTTCTAGTCCCAGTCGGGGTGCCAGATTCTGTCCTGGTTGCCCCTCTTCCAGGCCAGCTCTCTGCTGTGGCCCAGGAGTGCAGTGGAGGATGGCCCAAGTGCTTGGGCCCTGCACCCACATGGGAGACCAAGAAAGGCACCTGGCTCCTGGCTTCGGATCAGCGCAATGGGCTGGCCACAGCGCGCCAGCCGCAACGGCCATTGGGAAGTGAACCAATGGAAAAGGAAGACCTTTCTCTCTGTCTCTCTCTCTCACTGTCCACTCTGCCTGTCAATAAATAAATAAAATAAAAGCTAATCTGATTCTAAAAGCTGGTCTTAATAGCCTTTGGAGTCTAATGTGTATGTTTGAAATCTAAATATAAAAGTGAACAAAAAGGCCAGGGATTTGACACAGTGCATAAGATGCCTGTTGGGGTCCCTGCGTTTCGTATCTGAGGACCTGGGTCAAGTACCATCTCCTCCGCTCCAGTGCACTCTCCTGCTAATGCACTGGGTGGCAACAAACGGTAGCTCAAGTAATTGGGTTTCTGCCACCCACATGGAAGACCAGGCTGCCTGGCTTCTGGCTTCCACGTGGCCTGGCCTGGGCCATTGTGATCTTTTGGTAAGTAAACCAGCGGGTAGAAGAGTGTGTTTGTGTGTGTGTGTGTGTGTGTGTGTGTGTGTGTGTCTGCCTTTCAAATAAAGTTAATTTAAAAAAAAAATTAAGTGACCAAAAATTTACTGGTACCAGGCTATAAATAGAGTTCCCTAAATCATCACTTACAAACATCCTGGTCCCAAATTCTTGGTTTTGCTGAGTTCACAGTTTATGTTTTTAGGCTTCCTGATTAAAGTCAGGAAGTGAAACAGTCTGAAATTCAAAAACTCCCTTCTGATTCACATATGTCGTCTCAAAATATAATAAGTAACAGTGTGAATGTGATGAATTTCTGGAGACTTTGGATTTAGAGTTTTCCTACGTTTATAGATTTTACCTTAATGGACTAAGTTTCCAGTCTCTGTAAAGCAAATAATTAACCTGCCTTTAGACGGAAAGTTGGACCAGTGTTCTCTTGAGATCCTTTCCATCTCCAGGTTTAGTATGCGGTTGTGGGACTACACTGCCATCACAGAGTTGCTGTTGATGACTGTAGGTGTAGAAGAATCTGGTTTACAACCTTGGGGCATTCGGATCTGGCCAAAAGGCCCATGAGAGTCTCACAGGCATGGGAAGCCATGACACGGTGGCAAAAACAACCTAAATGAAAGATCCTGGTGAACAAGACCCCAGCAGAAGGAACAGGCCATCAAGGAGGGAGACGCCTTTCTCCAAAGGGAGGAAGGAACCTCCACTGTGATATGGCCTTGACTAAACAAGTTCAGAGTTGGTGAACTCAAGGGGCTTCCATAGCCTGGACAGCTTATGGCAGGAGCCTCGGGTGATTGCTGACATCATAAATAAGAGTGCCAATTGTTAAATCAACAATGGGAGTCACTGGGATCATGCTCCCCACGTAGGATCTCTGTCCTTAATGCGTTTTACTATGAAACTTAGAGACAACACTACTAG